GTCCATGTGACTAGCCAGCATCCAAGTGGTTTGAAATGAGTTGGCTCTCTAATCTGAGTCAAACTAGGTACACTTTTGTGATGACCTTGATCTCAACAGAGTGAAATAGCTAAGAGTTTTAAGATCATTCTGGTCTGGCTAGGAAACATCATTTTGCGCATTCACTTGCACGTAATCATGCATCAGACTAGAATTGGGGAGAATTATTAAAGAAATTATATAATTAGACCGGGAGTCGATGGGTTATTCACTGAATATTTGTCCAACAAATCAGCACCAAATACGTACAAACTAAATGGCGCAATACCTTTGCAGAATATATAGAAAAATGCAATAAAAAACAGGAGAAAGTCAGGCTGTATTCGACAAGTTATCAAGTCGTGCGAATATTATGATATAATTATAAGCAATAAATTGTTCTCGAAGTGTCATCTAGTCATTGGCACTGTCGTATAGTGTGTTACATCAAAACAACTTATCATATTCTCTCAAATTTCCTAAATTCTAACCTTACAACAACACCAAGTAAGTGTTATCCGGTAAATAAATCGGTCACCTCTGACTTCGACAGATTACTTAAAAATCCAACTATAGTTCTTCATATAAAACTCTTCAAGTCAATGTTGGCTGACATGTCAATCTCAAAAGTAAAAAGATGAACACCAGTCAGCATAAAGCTTGATTGTGAAATAACTGAGATACTAAACTGCTGTTCATATGATAGTCAGAGTTTATCTCAGATTATCCCAAAAATTCAGATTAAGTATAAGAACAATTTAATAAACATGAAGTACTGGAATAAGCTTTCGTGTGTGATAAAATCATCAGTTGGAAGCATTACAATCTTCTTATCAATATATCAACCTGAATCAATGCACAAGGTAGAGACTTTACTACAAACATATTTTAGGCAACTAAGACTTATCAGCAGCTGCCTTGATTCTGCACTGAAGATCAGACGGCCAGGAAAGATGGATAACAAAGAACTATGATAGGCAACGAACCAACCAAGAACCTCTTTCCCAACAAACATGCAGAAAGAAATACAGACAAAATGGACACATGCCGAGTAGACGGTTGAGTAACATTACACTCCTGATAGAATTTCGAGTGTAACTTGAATGGGAAAAGACCGGCTGGGCGTGGGTAAGGGGGTGACATAGACAAGATAGTTTGAGGAAATGAAAGCCTACGGTAAATTGTGGGGCCAGCTGTGGAGAACTGCAGATAACAGGATGAAACGGTGATGTACTGTTGAAGCCCTCCCAATATTCCACTCCGAACCCCAAGGAATGGTAATAATAAGACTGTCTCATGTAAATTAACCTAACTATAGTTGTCAATCCTACTTAATATGACTTGATTTTATCTGAAGCAAGTATTACGAATAGTCAGTAGAAGCTGAAGAGATGAATACTGTTAATCAATAGGATAACTGAACACGTTTTATCCCGCACTATCACTTAACATCTGCATTACTTTAGACTTTAGATTATTTGAGAAAATCTATCGATACAGAATCCACAAAGATATAATGTATCCCATTTCACGATGATTTCTTTTCCTCTGAAATCACTTCACTCTGTCATATTCAAATAAATTAGATAAAATACTAGGGGAAGTAATGAAACAAAGCTCCTTATAGTTAAATTTAAAAAACGTCTTACATCACCATAAAAGAAAGTCTGGAAGATAAAAACTAACAGTGAAATGAACCGATTTTGACAAAATGATATCAGAGAGAAGAATACACGAAGTTCAGCAAGGATATCTTTTCGGCAAATTCATTTTTAAAAGCCCTTGCAATATGCATCGAGAAACCGGATCTGTGTGTTCAAAAGAAATTAGTCCAACCCCTACAACTAATATGGACCTAGTTCAGTATGTTCCCTTAGCTTCTGTTTCTTTTCTTCTTTCGTTCTCTTTTTTTCTTTTTGATCTTTTTTTCTTTCGCTGTGCGTGTGATTCTTACTCCCTCTATCTTCATTCAATTCGCCCAATTTTTTCAATTATAAGAACACTTATTTTAAGTTTGTTTCCATACTTTTCCTGCTCACATTTATAATTCGTCTAAAATAACTATATCTTAATCCTGTGTAATTTTGGTTACTAAGACTCTTGTAATCTATATTCACACCTCTTATCTCCCATCTCAAGTTGAAAATTATTATTTTAATTTGTTTCTAAGCTCATTTTTTTACACACTTGTAATTCGTTCTAATCCTGTGTAATTTGGTTTCTAAACCTCTGGTAAACTGTATCTAACTGAAAATAACTGTCACCTTTTTTCGCCTTCGTAAATATGTGGAATCAAGTACAAAATTGTATCTATTTAAAATTATGTATTTAAATGTGATTGTACAACTTTTGAAAATAAAATCGTCAAAAAGATATCCTTGCTGAACTTCTTGTTCTCTTCTTTCTAATGTCTTTATGGGTGTTTTCCACGAAAATGATATCATCCTATTTGAACAACCCGCTTGTTTCACTAAAATAAAAAACAAAACAAAGTGATATAAGCATGTTGCTTACATTACAATCAGATGCATTCCACACACACCAGGCGGCTTTTCTTTCTGTGTTTCTCTTTCTAAGTTGTATCATTGTTAGCACTCACTGCTTAAAGGTCAACATCCTATCTTTCAAATAACTTCTATCTCACATGGAAATAATTTCTTTGTAAAGGAATTGGTTTTACTGAAGGAATAAGGACTAAAACCTCAAATTGGAGATTCCTTTTTTCTTTAAACTTAAAAAAATGGAATCGGATGTACACTCAAGTTTCAACCGTCAACTAAAGATATGTACTGTCCCAATAAGACCAGTAGTGGATTTTACCAACTCACCAATTTACAACCACTGTAAATATTTATCTTCGATACTGAAACCCTGGTAAAATAACTTTCAATATGTGATCAAAGAAAGATTAATATGATTTCAAATCCAAAAGAGAACACCACAGAAAACTGTCAAGGGAAACATTATGTTTAGATATGACATTAACTCATGATATACTAGCATTCTGCGTCGGTGGCGCAGCGGTAAAATGCTTGCCAACCACGCCTCATGTGGTTCAAGGTTCGATTCCTGGTCGACACACTGCTTTACCTGGCGCTAAGACAGTAATAAAACTGGTGAAGAGGGAAGGTTAGGCATGAGACTAACAGCTCCATCGCGTAAAAATGAATACCACTCTGCTACCGAAACTTCAAGCCTCTAGTTTGAAGCCCTATGTTCCACTGAGAGCGTGAAGGAATAAAATATTAAAAAATTAAAATACTAGCATTCCGTTTGCAGACTGTCTTGATATCAGTTTCAGTTCACTAGAATCAGAAACAACACAATGAACAGTAGTTACATAATCTGAACCTTGAAATTTTGTCTGAAAACTAATTATTATTTCACATTTAAAGGAAATTTATATAGACAGTTAAATGGTGTAGTTATAGATTCCCAAGTTTCCCTTACAGTTGCTAATCTTTTCAGGAAAACAGTTACACATAGCATCTTCACAATCACACTCAAAACTAAAATATAGCAAAGACACGTTCACGATACCTTCATTGTAATGAAATGAGAAGGCCTGCTCAATTCATTTTTTCAGGAAACTGAACAATCAATATCCCAGGATTCAGTTTATGTCAGAAGGAGTGTTAGACATCTGTGAATTGACCTTTATAGATTGGCTAGTTAAGAGGAGAGCTAAATGGGTATGTCTGTCTATATTCAGGAATAAAACAGACTCCAACAAATTTTACGACTTTGAATAATTACAGTCTATCAGTGCAAAGGCTGCCTCATATCTTCTTAGACCAGGACACTCTATGGTAACAGATGAAAAGGGAAAAAAAGAGAGAAAGTATAAATATTACTGAAATTCTCAGGAAAAATAATTATCCAAAGAATCTGATTAGCTGAATCAATACCAACACTAAACATGGCCGAAAACACGAACCTCAGCCGTTGTTATTCCACATAGACGAGACACATCAGACAATGCCAGAAAAGTGCTCAATAAAATGCAACACCAGAGTTTTCTTCAAAACATCAGACAAGCCAAAAAGTAATCTTGTTCATGTGAAAGATAGAATTCAAAAGGAATCACAATCTAACTGTGTCTATGAAATAAAATGCATAGGATGTGACGCAATACACAATGAATCAAAATCAGTGAAAAAAAGAACTTTGTAGGATCTTAATTCGACCAGTAAGAAATCCGATAAAACCAGAAAAGCTTGAAAAATCGTCAACTATAGGTCTACACTCAATAGAATCAGACAGTACTGAAACCAGACATACGAATTTAAAAAAGTCACAAAGGACATTTAACATCAGAAGTACTTCTAATTATATGGAATCCAAATTGTCTTGAATGGTAATGATGGAATGAGAGAGAATTTAACCTGGTTCCCCTGATGACAAAATCAACACGAATATGATAAGCAATTTTACTATTTACACAAATGTTGTTTTTACAAGTTCAAACATTTATCAGTTCCAACAATCTGCAGACGGTTTGTTATATTTACTAATCTTCCCAGTTGACAACATAAAAAAGAATTACTTCATGCTGAAGAAGTACGACTAGGTTATCGTATATAAGCTAAGATTTTGTAAATTCTGGTTTAATAATACTTTTATAAAGCTATTAACAGCAGTAAATAGCAAAACGTCAGTTTTTACACTCAAGGGAAAATCAAGTCTTATAATAATAAAGAATTTACATTGTTCATTCTAGAGCTCTGTGACAAAAGGTGAAAAAGGCGAAAGATGAATTCCCTGAACTCTTTTAACACAATTGAGGTGATATTACAAGCATTTCTAGGTAATTCAAATTCTGTCCCTCAATTTTCATTGGACACTTTAAATCCATTGGGTCGATACAAACAAAGCTTTCTGATTGGTTAATTATAATCAGCCAATAGGCAGGGAGATATATCGATTTGTCATCAACATATCAATCATGAATGAAAGTTTAATTTAATTTTTTCACAAATGACACTAACACGACACACTGTTGCAACAAAATGATCTCATCGAAATTAAAGCCTGAAATCACCTGTCCAATATGTAATCAAATATTTCAGACGCCTCTTCTACTTCCATGTGGTCATTCTATTTGTTCTGGCTGCGTAAGCAAACTTCGTAAAACACAAGTCATCAAATCGAATTCTATCATTCCACCACAATATCCAGCAGTACAGACAACTCAAACGACCACCACTATTGAAGATGCTGTAAGTGAAGCTGATTCTGGTGTGGTTGTTTGTAGTGCAGAATTGAACAACGAGTGTCATTTAACATCGTCATTGTCATCATCATCGTCGCCGTATTCACCTCAGAGTATTAGCCATGCATATTCTGCACATGATTTATGCCGTTTATGCAACAGTACTGCTAGTCGTAATAATAACAGTAATAATAATAACTGCTTAAAAAACTCGCATAATAATCAACCTGGATTACACTCGGAGAATGGAAATACTGAAACCCTACCAGCTGATATCCTACCGCATAATACAGCTTTGGAGAATTTGATTACTAGACTATGCAAAGATGAAGTTGGCCAACATGACAAGGAGACAACATTGTCTTCAGGCAGTGGCAAGATGGATAACGTCAGTTTATCTTCAATACGATGTCAGCTGTGTGAATCATCGAATGATATATTAACCTTGTCCTTTTGTGAACAATGCAATCTATGGTATTGTAAAACATGCTTAAATCTATGGCATCCACCGACTGATATGTTGATTAAGCATCGTGTTACCCCGTTTAATAATCATAATCGGTTAGTGTATTCATCGAAACAGTCCAGCAGTGAAACATCCGGTCCAGAGTGTGTATATCATTCAGGATATATATGTAATCTATATTGTATCACGTGTTCAATGTTTGTCTGTCTAAGATGTTTAAATTCATCAGTGAATGAAAGGAACTATAATTTAAATCATGTTGTCAACAACAAAATGATAACAACTGATTCATATACTTCAGGCAATTCTTATTCGTTTGAATGTTTATCGCATACAGGTCATACAGTTTGTTCAACGAATATTTATGCTAAAAGAGCAAAGGTGAGTTTCCGCTTTCCATTCCCTGTGATTTAATTATTAGAATGCAAGTATTAATTTTTAGATATGGGTGTTTAAAATGCATTTAATTAAGTTTTTGCCACACTCATTGAAGAATAGGCCAAGTATATTTATTTTCTTTTTTTTCCTTCACGTTCCCCAGTGGAACATAGGGCTTCAAGCTAGAGGCTTGAAGTTCTGTAGCAGTGTTTATTTTACAGGATGGGTTTGCTAGCCTCATGCCCAACCTTTCCTCCTCACCAGCATTATTTCTAGCTTAGCGAGGTAAAGGAGTGCGTCGTTGGCCGGGGATCGAACCCCGGACCATGTGTATGGTCGGCGAGCGTCCTAACCGCTATGCTACCGACGCACAAGTATATTTATAGACTTTAAAAATATGAGTTACATTTTGGTCTTCATAATTGGTATACCCTTCATTAATATAAAGAGAACACTTTGCAGCTGTTTCGTCCTTGTTTGTGACTCTCCAGCTGTGAGCAACCCCACTAGGGATCGAATTCAAGACTTTCAGGTTACGTGGCCAGCTTGATAACTATTCAGTCAGTTGGGGCCACTTTCATCTGTGGCTTGTTAGCGTAGGCTCTCGATATCCAACAAGTGGGTTCGGAGTTCGAACTACACTCTACCTACTGAGGTTTAGGCAGCCAAGTAGTAGAAGTCCAGAGCCCTACTAACTGAGTTAGGAAACTCTACTGTTAGGCAGATCAGCATTTCGCTGTAAAAATCAAAAGTTCACTGGACAGATATTTAGCGTCTTCTTATCTGTAAACTCAAAACTATAAACATTCGATTAAACGACTTCATGAAAACGAATCTGATTTATAAGATAAATCGGACAACATTATAGTTGTCGTAGCCCAGTGTCTGAGTGAATAGTGAGATGGTGTTTAAAACGATAGGTGCTGGTTTGTAGCCTGATGGCAATATCATCACTCACTAGGGATGAAAGTTCATCCAGATGCCGAGTCTCAAAAAGGGACGAAATGTATGTTCTGGATTCCACAGCTAGCCACCATCAGCCAAACAACATCATGTTAACTATGAGGTATTGTCAAATTCTTCATACTTCTAGTCGACATCTTTGGGGTTGGAAGTCGTATGCCCAGATTAAGGAAGGAGAGTTATACATTATTCCCGATTAAACCAATAGGAAAAGAGGATGGGGAAAATGAATGATTGAACAGTGACAAAGCATGCACGTGGAGCTGTGATTTATTTATCATCATTGTGTTATCCATATCACAATCCATCAGCAAACTTTATCCCCCTCCCAGTGTCATTAATAACATTAATTTTCACCATATATTTATAATGAAGTAACTCTAGGTTTTGAAAAAATCAATTAGCTGTGACATAACTATCTGGAAGTGATTGATTGCGTTATTTCTCATCTTTTCATGATAAGAAACATGACCGTTTATTAAAATTCAATTTTAACATCTTTGCATTGGAACCACTGTTTGACTGATTGATTCTGACAGATGTATTAACCCTTTTTTTGATAATTAGATGTAAACAAAATATCACGCTGTTTCATTTGGAATATAATTCAGTCACCATCCCATCTGTCATTTTTATTCGTGATTAAAATCATACGCATCCTTCAATACATTGTATTAGCTAAACACTCAAAGAAGTAACAGATGCTAGTGTTTATCAAAACTCAAGCATATCTTACTCCACTTGAAGCGATTTTACTAAGATTAAAGTGACGTGGTTAAATAATAGGATGGCTAGGTTACGTGCTGTGCCTCCCGACGGGCATTACTAGCTGATATAGGTGCAGGTTGGAAAAGAGTAAGTGGTGACCAAACAAAAACATGGCATCAATCCATGAAATCCCTGACAGTTAAACTGAGTCAGGTAGGGAAATGCAGACTTCCGGGTTGGGGCCCTCGGGACTCTAAGAATCAATGGCTGTAGACAATAGGTGACATGGCTCAAAATCGTTGTCAATGGCTTACGCTGATGTATTTAGTCTCTGTAATCTTTCATATTCCTTTCTACCATTACTGACTCTGTTTCACTCTTGCACTTGTCAAAACTCTATTGATTCTCTTCACTCATCTTCTTGTCTACTTTTGTGTGCCATTTGGAACGTAGCAACTGGAGCTGCTGCACTTCGGTGCCAAGTTCTATGTTGAATCCAGCCAGGTTAAATAATAGGTGTTCTGACAAATTTAAATGGTTCCCTAGATCATATAGTGAGGCTACAGCATGACTTGCTAGTGGGTCGGAGAGTCGGTACATCGAGCTCTAATAGTTCCAAGCTGGATGATAGAAATGCTTGTCCTGATTTTCATTGCTAGGCACCATCAACATTAATAACTTTATGCATAAAACACAGTTCATTTAACCGTAATGTTTCTTGTAGAATAAAAATAACAACTGTACAGGTCGGCGGTTTCATTGTGGAATATTTTTCTGTCTGAATTGTTTCTATTTGTCTTATCATGATGCTATGTAGTGCTGATTGATATTCTCACGCCTACTTTGAATGAAGGTGATTCAATTGATTTAAACCTAGTTTACGAAACTAATCTATCATTATTTTGTGCTATCTACTTTTTATTTCATGTTAGTAAAGAGCAACTCTTGTTTTTTAAGTATTTCTCTAGGAAGGAAATAAGATAAATTTCAATATATCCGAGGCGTCAGAAAAGGTAGCAGTTCATTATAAACACAAATTTGTGACTGATATCTGAGCATCAGTATGTCATACAGTTTTCTTAAATTCTCAATCATAGTAGGCGCCTGATCTTATAAATAAGTTCAGTTTGTAGACTTACTATTAATGATGATAATAGCGATAATAATAATAAAGCGTAAGATGAACCCTCTATACAGTTCTCTTGATACTGCAAAGCATCGTAGTATCTCGTAACCGCTTATTTAGTTATAACAAAAAGCATAAATCGTACACTGAAGTCTCCATTTGCACATTTTCCTCGTTTTGTGCTTCTTTTATCTCTCCTTCATGCCTATTGTGTTGTTTCCCATGAATCTTTCATTTCTGTTCTTTACAGCTTAATCTGTCCCTTTGTAATTCAATATTTTTACAGAAGACCACTCATACATACAATATACTACTACCAAATTCTTTTTAGTAGCACACTCCCCCCCACCATCTGTGGATAATTTTTATTTACCCTGATTTATTTAATATAAAGTCATTAGTGGTGATAATAGTCGTAATCAAGTTAATAGTGCAGTCACTTAACTAGTTCACAAGATATTGCAACACATTGCAATTGGGGGGGGAGGGGGTAGATATTTGGGGGTTTTGTTATGGTTGTACCTCATGGCTAGTGAAAGATATGAATATGATAGTGATATATCTCTTTGATAAGACCAAAGGTTACATGCAAGACTCACGATTGAATGAGATGTAAATGTTTATATCGAAATTTCTGGGTTTCTTTTTTACAACAGTGCTTTCTACTTTTTACTAATATATTATGTTACTATCATTACTACTCATTCCTTGTATTCCCAGTGGAATATGAGGCTTCAGCTGCACTTCTTCCTTGCACTTGGTTCTGTCATCACTTCAACATACTCCATGACTAGCCGAAATCTATCACTGTCCCCTCAAATGATTTTCTGCATATCACCGTCGAATCTACACCCAACTTGTCACTTCACATTTGTGTTCTACTGAATGGCTTGACGTGTAATGTCAACTGAATGTTTGTTTAGCGTATATTCACTGCATTTCCATTTCTTTCTGCATTTTTTTTGGGGGGGGGCAAACAGCTAGTATAGAGTCCCTCGTTTTATTTTTTTCGATTAAATACTGACGTATGTTGTGGGTTGATGTGGGAATACTTCTTGCATTGATGAGGTGGAAGCAACTGAATAAGATTTCTAAATCTTGAGCATAACTATTTCACTGTGCCTACTACTACTTCTATTTATACTGAAACGATATACTTGGTCTTTAGTTTATTTTATATGGTAGCATAGGGTGCGCGCGGCACAGCTGTTAAAACGCTCGCCAACCATGCACATGATCCGGGGTTCGATCCCCGGCCGACGCCGCACTCCTTTACCTCTCTAAATCAGTAATAAAGCCGGTAAAGAGGAAATGTTAGGCATGAGGATAGCAACCTAATCCTGTAAAAATAAACACCACTGCTACAGAAACTTCAAGTCTCTAGCTTGAAGCCCTATGTACCACTGGAAACGTAAAGGAATAAAAAAAAATTTTGTAATACTGATAGAACACCTCATATAAAATATCAGATAGAGCCATAGATCCTTTCTATTTTTTTATTATTATTTATTTTAATATAAGCTTTGATACAATGCAAACATTAACATACATATTCAATTAATAGTTTCATGTCTTTTTGTATATTTAAGTCACATTCGGATTTGGAGCATATTTTTTGGCGAATGTTTACTTTATCTATGCTGCATGAATTCCATTCATCAACAACATCAGCTGTTCGCTCGCTATTCTGTAAAAACAAAAATTGTTTATACACATTTGATTAATGTTCATTATGGGGTACAAGGTGATGTCCTCTGAATGCCCGACTGTGTGTATTGCTTAAAAGTGACGTATAAATATAGTACTATTATTATTATTATTAATGTTATCAGTGGTATTAGTAGACCATGAAATTGTCTTTCATATTTAATAAAAATTAAGGGCTAATCTTTTTATATGCACCATTCTCCCCATTTTCTAATTATTCAGTCTTTCTTAAATATAAATATGGAAGAAGAAACGATCGAATGTAAACTAACTAGCGTTTGTTTTCAGCGGTTGTTGATGTTGTTTGAATTTGATTAATAGCTCTGAGTTTGACTTGAGGGATTAAGATATACATGCTTATAGGCCATAGATATAAGTATAAAACTTGGGCACAGTGGTAGAGTATAATTCCATAATGGATAAGATTTTATTTTGATAAATCACACAGTGTAGTACAGTTATATTAACTGATGACGTTTCGAGCACAAACTATTGCTCA